AATAGTAAAATATCCAAATGGCCATTCCGCCACGGATCACTGATTAAGCATTGGGGAAAAGGAAGGTCCATTGTTTCCAAATGAAACACGGAAATGGATCCGCAGCAGAAAGCCACAAGGATGGGAAACAGAAGGGTGGGAGGGTGGGCGTTTTTACAACACACAAGAGTAAACAACACCCTGACGCAGCCCCCTCCTCGCCCTCCCCCCCCTTCTCCGGTCCTAATTTCTTTATCTTGCACTTTCTCTGTCTTGGCGATCAGCACAGAAAGAGCAGTTACAACCTGTAAACTAGGGTTTTATGCATTGTACATCATTATTTATTCATAAAACAACGTTAATTACTCAAATTCCATTAGTTAATCAGCTTCCGCGGCGTGTTTGGCCAATTTGAATAGTAAAATATCCAAATGGCCATTCCGCCACGGATCACTGATTAAGCATTGGGGAAAAGGAAGGTCCATTGTTTCCAAATGAAGCACGGAAATGAATTCCTCCGCAGTTCAGTTACTACTCGCTCCCAACACTACATCTCCCCCCATATACCCAAACCCCCATTCTCATATACCCAAACCCCCATTCTCATATACCAAACCCCCATTGTCATATACCCAAGCCGCCATTCTCATATACCAAACGCCCATTCTCAAATACCCTACAACCCCGCCGATTCGCATGTGCCACACACACAAACCAAACTATAATCTATTAAGCAAACAAACCGGCAATGGACAGTATGAAAAAAAAGTGAAAAGCGATAGGTGGACTAGCATGGTCAAGCGACAATGAACGCAGAGAATAACCCGGAACTGATGCCACAGGTCTGGTCCATGGGAGAAACTTCCACCCAATGACTCGCTTCTTAAGACGCTCAGAAACTGCTAACGGGACAAAGTTTAGCGAGTGGCGAGAGAAAAGATAACCGAGAAGTAAATCCCCAAAGCACCCCCCGGAAGGACCAGAAAAGGGCAACAGTCCCGGCACAACTGCTAGAGTCGAATACAAAGAGCTTTAGATAGCCCTGGGAAAGTTGACTCCCACCAGCCAAGAAAAGAAAAAAGAACCCAAGAAATGCAAAAGAAAACCAGCTAACGAGCGCAAACACAAGATCAGTACTTTCATACACACTCGAAAAACATATATTGCCCAAGAATTGGGTGATTCGCGTATGGCAAGGAAGGTATACTGTTCTGAATCGCCAAAATATTGGCCCTTGTCTGTCCAATCCAAATGCAGTAAGCGCGTGCGCTCGGTCTCAAGCAATCGTGTATTGCGAGATGCACCCCTGGCATTGGCAATCTTCGTGCTCAATCCCAAGCAATCATGGATTGGGTCTATTGGGAGATGCATTTCTCTGCTTGCCCAAACATATGAGCAACTGACCACTAAACAACTTCCGTAACTGCGAGACGCCGCTCCTGCGCATGCACTAAACTCATTGACAAATGATTTCCAAATTCCAATTCAATGGCTGCCATGGTTGGTCCCAAGCAATCATGTATTGTAAAATGCAAGCCTCTCATTCGCGAAACCCTGTTACCCTGAGCCTGTTTTTTCAATCTTAAGTCAGTAGCGACTCTTACTCGGTCACAAGCAATCATACAATTGCGAGATGCCCTTCGCCCATACGCCGAACTCATTGGCCAGTTTGCCTTAAATCCAAATTCGGTAGCTACTCGTGGTCGGTCTCCAGCACTCATGCAATTGCGAGATGCACTGCTCTTACAAACCAAACACATTGACCACTATACCTTAAATTCAAATGCAGTAGCTAATCGTGCTCGGTCACTCAAGCAATCATGTATTGTGAGATGCAATCATGGCGTACGCGAAACACATGAGCCTTTCCTTTGAATCCCAAGTCAATAACTACTCAAGCTCGGTCACAAGCAAGCATACAAGTGCAAGATGCACTTCTCTAATACGCCAAACACATTGGCCACTGTGCCTTAAATCCAAATTCAGTAGCTAGTCGTGCTCGGTCGCCAGCAATCATGTAACTGCGAGATGCACGTCTTTCATACGCCAAACACATTGGCAACTTTTGTTAAAATCCAAATTTAATAGCTATACCCGTGCTGGGTCTCAAGCAATTACGCATTGCTACATGCACGTCTCTCATACGCCAAACACATTGGCCAATTTATGTAAAATCCAAATTCAGTAGCTATACTCGTGCCCAGTCTCAAGCAATCATGTAATGACGACATGCACCTCGCTCACACGCCAAAACATATTGGCAACTTTATTTTAAAATCCAAATTCAGTAGCTACTCGTTTGCGGTCTCGAGCAAGCATGCAATTATGAGATGAACTTCTCGTATACGCCAAACACATTGGCAACGTTGTTTAAAATCCAAAGTCAGTAGCTATTCGTCCTCGGTCTCAAGCAATCATACAATTGCGAGATGCGCTTCGCCCATGCACCAAACTCATTGGCCACTTTGCCTTAAAGCCAAATTCAATAGCTACTGTAGAGAAGCGCCTTTTAGTGTATGTGTTTAAGCGCCTTTTAGTGTATGTGTTTTAGCGCCTTTTAGTGTATGTGTTTTTAGAGGAGAGAGAACCGCATGGAAGTGAGATATTGTAGAGTTAAGGTGAAATTGTGAGATGTATTTCGTGGAGATTAATCGTTGTTGAGTATTGTAATTAAAGAAATAATTAAAGAGTTTTGGTATTATCTTAGTCCAGTAGTGCTTCGTGACAATTTTGGAGGTCCCACCGAGACCAAACTTGTGGAAATGATGTGACATTTTGACTTGTTTTTCGAGTGTGTTTTGTATCGTGCAAACATGGCGGTCGAGCCTGAGCAAGCAGAAGCACCGAATGTTGAGACGAATAAGTTATCTTTGTCATTGTTTCGAAGGCCCGACAAGTTTAAAATTGGCGAAGACTTTGATTTGTTCATCAAGAAATGTAATTTGTACTTCGAAGCAGTGGAACTTGAAGATGTTAAAAAGCGACGATTTGCGCTGTTGTTTAATTTGAGCGAAGATGCGTTTCGTTTGGCAGAACCGGTTGAGTTTGGCGAAGGGGAAAACGCGTACAAAGATTGGATTGGAAAGTTGAAGTCGTTATTTGAAAGGAATCAGACTGCTACAGAGAAACGTTACAATTTTCATCGTCGAGAACAGGAGCCTGGTGAGTCTGTTGATTCGTATGCTGTTTCTTTGCGAGAAGCTGGAGCTAGATGTGGTTTCCATGGTGACGAATATTCTAGCAGGTTGGTTGATCAATTTATTTTGGGGTTGAGTGATAAGGCCACCCAAAACAAGTTGTTACAAGAGCCACCAAACAGTTTAGATGATGCCTTGTTAATTGCTCGAAGATTTGAGGCAGCAAATGCCACAATGAAAACATTAGCCAGAGAAGCAACAGAAAAATTAAGTAGAACAACAATTGGCTCAGTTCTTTGAATGCTGCTAAAACATGTTATTCGTGTAATGGATTTGGTCATGTGACGTGACCATTTGCTATCGTTGTGGGAATAGTGGCCATATTGCAAAGTTCTGTAATGCCAAGTTGGAGGGAGGTCTGGGTTCTAGTAGAGATTGTGAAAGCCCCAAGAAAAATGATTCAAAAATCAGACTGTCTACCGTTTCTTCAGCGAGTAAGAAGAAAACCCTTATGGTCGAGACTACTATTAATGGGAAAAATAAACTTTGTACAGTTGACACTGGCGCATCTATTTCATTAGTTAGTAAAGACCAGTGGCAACCTCTTAAACTGGATGATACCCCATTATTTCCATCCGATATTGTTGCAGAAGCCGCTAACAATTCTCCCATTGGGATTTTGGGCAAAACCACCTTGAATGTGCAATTTGATGAAAACAACAAGTCATCTCATGACTTTTATGTGGCTAATGAAATGTTGTCTGAAATTATTCTGGGTTTAGATTGGTTAGTAACTAACAAAGTAAATGTCGATATGGCTGAAATGGTTTTGAAATTCCCAGATGGTACCACAAAACCCTTGTGTTTATTTGATTCAACCATAGCAGATCCCCTGGGCGTTGTTCTAGATGAGGATTTGGTTGTTCCGGCGAAACATGAAGTTTTCAAAACTGCCAGGGTCCGAAATCCCACTTTAAATGAAAGCATCTTAGAGCCTAATATGAACTTATCCGGGAAAGGTGTTCTTGTAGCAAGAGTTATTGTACAGCCAAAAGAACAGAGGGTACCCATCCAGATTATTAATCCAGGGACATCACCTATTAAGTTGTACAAGGGCATGACGGTTGGGCACCTTCAGCAAGTTGGTGATGAGTTAAGAGACCCAACAGTTATTAATTCAAAGTGTGGTTCGCCATCTGCTGAGGATAAGATCAAATTCGAGTTAGAGCATCTGTCGGGTGAGGAGCGAGAGAGGATGGAAAATTTGTTGAATAAACACCAAGATATTTTCGCAAAAAATTCTAGTGAACTTGGCGTAACCACACTAGCAGAGCATAAGATTGAGACAGGCGATGCCGTACCTGTTAAACAACTGCCTCGAAGACTGCCCAATTCTCTGAGAACCGTTGTTGAAGACCAAGTAAAAGAAATGTTGGAAAACAACATAATTAAGCCGAGTAATTCACCATGGTCAAGTCCTATAGTCTTAGTTCGAAAGAAAGATGGGACATGGCGTTTTTGTATTGATTTCAGGAAACTAAATGATGTCACAGTGAAAGATGCTTTCCCACTTCCCCAGGTTGCTGATTTGATGGATAACTTAGCTGGTCATCAATATTTTTCGACACTCGACCTAGCCTCGGGATATTGGCAGGTTCCAGTTGACGAATCTAGTCAGGAGAAAACAGC